TTTTGATACAAATATCATCTATTTTTATATACAATTTCTTTTTCTAGTACTCAAAGGATTTCTTGAATATGAATATCTTAATCTTGAACAATATTATGATCAATTAAAATTCGCGAAATGTCCAGCATTAATACTTTGGGGTCGTCAAGATCAAGTGAGTATATTTAATTTAAAAATGAATATTAAATTTTTCTAATATATTATTTAGTTATGTGTTGTTGATGCTGCTTATTATTTTTCAGAATTACTTTCCGATTCAGAAGTAAAAATTCTCGATGAATGTGGCCATTTTATATCATTTGAAAAAGCAGAAGAGACAGCGAAATATATCATGGAATTTCTTGATCTTCATTCTTATGACGTTGTTGAACTACCACCGACTAAATTTTAGTATTTATTTTGTAGTTCAGTTGTGTTTTTTCTATTTGATAGTCAAAATAAAAATAATTTATATTCACGCGTTATATATATATACATCATGGCAAATTTTGAATTAGTTTTCTTTCGATTATATCGAAAGAATACGTATACGATCATTGGCATTATGTAGATTTAAATGAAGTTGCCATGGATATGGGCATTTATTCAAATCTATATCAATTACCCATGTACTACGTGTACGTTCATTAGTTAAACTAATTTTTTGCCGATCACAATCGATAGTAAACATCATTATATCATTTAATTCTATATCACTATTGTAGTTTTTGTATCCTGTGTGCAGAGTGCCATTTAAATAAACTTGATCAGGTGGAGCCCAGCCATAAGTTGATAGACTTTTGTGTGAGGTTTCTTTCATAGATGTGTCTTTATTTATAATTCCAATAAAAATCCATCTGTTAGTATTTATATTTTCGAGTTTCAAACGAAAACGATGTTGTCCCCATGTATGTTCATTGCTACCACGAGCTGTAGCATGACAATTTTGATGATGATTATGAATAATAGTTTGACCATTATCTTCGATGCGAATATTTCCAACTACTTTTTCGATAATTTCTTCTGAAAACATAGAAATTAAAGGTTTAGATATTAATGGAATATTATTATCAGCTAGATTAATTTCAATAACTTTTGGTTTGAATAGATTATCTTTTAATATATCCAATTTCTTCATCCATTCATTTAAATCTGTTTCGAAATAATCATCAGCTTCACGAGCTTGATTTAATTCATTTGTGAATTTTGTTAAATCTACTGATAAATTTTCTATATGTTTGGAAATAATAATTTGTAGTTCTGTTCTAATTTTATCGGCAGTTTTTTGAATTTTATCTATTGAATTTTGTTCCCATTCATATATTTGTTTTATTAATGGATGACTATCAGTTTCTTTTAGTTGTTCAGTTAAATTATTTCGAAGTTGATCGTGTTGTAATGCTAATTCATCGATTTGTTCACTTAACTGTCGACGATGTTCATTTGCATGACACATACAAAAATCTTTTTGACATCCTCGACATGTAAAATGACCTATTGATTTAGCACATATTGAACATGAAATTTTCGGAGAGGTTGGAGATGCCATCAATGAAATATTTAATACTAAAGAAAAAAGTTGACATTTTTATTTACATTTTTATTATTCTAGTGAATAAAGGCAAAAAAAACAGCATACTGCGACGTTATATTTCAGTTGGGTTTTTTTGTTTCTCTATTTATTATTTGCAGTCACAGGTAAAAAGAATTTTTTTTATTGTTTGTTCTCAAGAATGAAACAGGATTCATGAAAAAAATAAGTTTATCAGCTGCTTAAATGTACTTCTATTTATCCGATATATTTTTCGTAACCCGATGTAGTCTTCTATGTATCTATTGAGTAAACGTGAATATTATCAATGGTTATTACCCAGTCAAACAAAAGCAGGAAAAAAACGCGTATAAATGGTGTTTTTTAACGTGCTGTTATCACTTATCTTTGTAAAATAACAAAAACAATGCGTTAAAATGTGCGCTTTTGAACGTGTTTTTTTACCGATTCCATCTGACTAGAAAGACAAATATGAGATTGTCAAGGAAAAGGACGTTTGGTAATATCTACACTTATTAAACGAATGGTTCGTTGATTATAATCAAGAATCAATTGAACTATATCGTCTTCTTCAATACCATCTCGATAATTATTATAATTTCAATGAATAATACCACGTAAATAGGCAAAATTATGTTTATACCAACCATAAAATATTGGATTCTTATATGGATCTGTATATTTTTTTAATCTATTTTTAGATATAATTTTTATTAAAATTCCACTGTTTGATTAATATTGTTCTAATTTGAAGCGAAGTAAATGCTTATTTGATGAATATTCATCTCTCATATTTTAATTGTTTCATATTGTTATGTTTTGTTTCGGTAAGTGGAAGTTTCGAAACAAACGAAACAATACTATCTACTTGAATAATCTTAACATTTCGTAGTTTATTTAATGTACGTTGTAAATTTTCAATTTTATTTGACCATCGATTTAAATTATTTTCAAAAAAATCCCTCTCATTTCGAGCTTTAATTAATTGTTGTTCCTATTGATTAATTTGTTTTATAATATTCATCTGTTTTTTCATTCATTTGTCTTTCGACATCATATCGACGTTTATTAGTATGATTTTTGGGCGCAAGTCACTTCTATGATAAAATTTTCAGCATAAAAACAGGACCTGCAGGGATCCTGTCAAATAGCAAAACAAAAATATCTGCTTTATTATTACCTTGATCTTCCGAAGAAGGATTTGGACCTTTTCGATTTCTTCTCATTCAATTATAAGAGCAATTTTTCTTTCGTACATTCGTACTCCATCACATCGCTAACGCTCGTTTTCCTAGTGATCACTTTTCTGAACATACATCCTCAAAACTGGGTCTTTTACGGTACTTCGAGTAACTTGACATACGTATAACATATAAGAATTAGTTATGGAAGGTTTTGAAATAATTTACACCATTTTTCAACATTCCATAAAAATAAAATATGAGCTACTAGCACCCTCATGCGAATCATCCATTCCAATTGATTTAAACTAACGTCCAATACCCTTCCATAACATAGACTTAACTTACTTACGAAAGATTTTTATTATTTTTTATTTCAATTATTATACGAAAATAAAAATATGAATTTTGAATTATTAGCTAATGAATTAATCCTCGATATATTTGAATATTTAAATTCTACTCAACTTCTTCGTGCATATCATGGTTTAAATATTCGTCTAAATAATCTTCTTTATCTTCATTTTCAAAATTACTCACTTGATTTTCGATCTGTTATTAAAAATGATTTTAATGATATTTGTCAAAATATTCTTCCATTATTAACTCATCAAATTACTTCCATACATCTTTCAAATGATGATGATACACCTAATCAACCGAATTTATTTCTTTCCTTTGGTTTTCATTTTCGACAATTCAGTAATCTACAATCACTTTCATTACACTATATCCGTTCAATGGAATTAATGAATAAAATTCTATCCAATTGTCCACAATTAATTTCTCTTAATATAAGTAAATGTACTTACGATGATGATTTCGAACAATCAGCAATATGTTTAAATACAATATGGAGTTTAAAAAGATTAAAATCTTGTTATTTAGATATAGAATCATGGAATAATCTTGAAAATCAAGTACCAATAATAATCTCATCATCACTTCAAATTCTCTCTATTGAACATGAATTTATTACTTTAAATTGTTTAAATTCTTTATTTATATGTACACCTAATCTACATGATCTCAAGATTAATATTACAGATAAATTAGATAATGAAGAATTATTATCATTTAATATTCCTTCATTAACAAAATTAAAAATTTATTTTGAAAGTTCATTATTTAGTTTAAAAAATCTTCTGAAAAATTTACCGAATTTATCTCAATTAATTATTCAAATCGATGATATATGGATTGATGGATACCAATGGAAAGATATAATTCGAAATTATTTTAATAATTTAAAAATCTTTCAATTATTAATGTTTCATAGAATTCATCAAGATAAAATTATAACAGAAGAAATTGATTATTTAATTGAATCATTTCAAACAAGATTTTGGCTTGAACAACGTCAATGTTTTGTTCGATGTGATTATCATAGTGAATTTGGAACAACTTATCTCTATACTCTACCATATGGATTTTGTAAATTTAATCGACTTATAAGTAATATGTCAAAATCTACATGTTCAATTGATAAAATATCTACGGCATTTAATTATGTTAATAATTTACTTCTTGATTATGATTTAATAGAATTTGCATCGAAATTTCCAATTCAATTCTTAAATATTCATTCTCTTGATTTAGCATTTCCATTTAATGATGTTATGTGGACAGTTTTACCGAAATTTGATCGATTAACATCACTTGAAATCGTATCAATTGCATATTCAGATGAAAATTATCGACCTATAAATCATCTTCAGACAGTATTAGATCGTTCGATTCATCTTTATTCATTAACAATTGATTATTTAATTTTATCAGAATTATCAACTGTACAAATAAATAATAAATCAATACGTCGATTGGATTTAATATCAAATGACGGACATTATTATGGTTCAGAATGTATTTCATTAATACAATCAATTTTAGGTAATCAATGTGAAATTTTATTAATTAGTATTGAAAATCGTACAATTGTTCTTGAATTAATTGAAAAAATGTCGAATCTTCGAGCATTAACCTTTGTATGTCAAACAGATCAAATGGATATTAATAATGAATCATCATCATCATCAGCAGCAGCAGATGATGAACTTTTTCAATGGATGAAACATCATTTACCATCATATTGTTCAATATCCAGAGATGAAAATGAAACAGCTGTTGTTCAATTATGGATACGTTAAATTGTTTTTTTTATTTATACACTAAAGTCAGAAAAATAAAGTTAAACATATATTGTTATTAATTATTATACTTGAAATATTAATATGCATGAAACTATAGATTTTCATATTTAAGAGTGTGGGTGTGTCTTGTTTACTTAGGGTTAACCGCTAAACCACAACCATTATTCAAAACCGCATAACCAAAAAAAATTTAAATATAATTTAGAGACTGTGAGTTTATATTTATTTCGATACACTAATACATATAAGTAAAAAAATATAAATATGTTACTATCATTCAATAATATCTGTTGACTAGCATAAAAAATAATTTTACAATAAAAATTAAGAATTAATTCTTATAAAACATTGAATTTTCTGTCTACAGATAGGACATGAATGAAGAGCATATCCACAAGGTACACAAGCACATAAGTGTCCGCAAGGCATACATGCTAATTGTTTTTCTTCAGTGAGACATATAAAACATTCACCGAATGATTGTTTTGGTGACTGAGATGAAGTTTTTGATTGTTGTTCTTTTGATGGAGTTATTATTTTATCTTTACAACCTTTAATATGATCAATTTGTTTTTTAAGAATTAAACAAGCCATTGATAAATCAACATCTGATGTAAAATCATCATTTTTAATTCGGAATTGATCTTCAAAACATCGTTTAATTATAGCTAACGAATATTGAGAACGAAGAGGTTGAACAACAGGTAAATCAAGTCTTGCTGCAACTATACGACTCAGTTCATCGCTTCTTATTGGCTGTTGTGTTGGTTGCATTCGTTTTTTTGACATTTGAATTTTTTTATATAAATCATCTCCACATAAATGTTTAGCATAAGTACAATTTGGAAACCATCGAGCATGTTCAATCATAGGATTATCATTTGGACCCCATTTATGTAATGAACCATTACAATAAAAACATGTTACTGTATTTGAAACACCAGTAGAATAGAATCCAGCACGAACTAAATCCTCAATCTTTGGTGAATTTTCAGGCCAAATTGTATTAGAGAATGTTGCTTCTCGACGAGATATTGCTGCCATTGCTGGATTCGTAGGTTGAAATTTTTCTATTAGTATATCATTAATTATTTTTGGTGTAGTTTGTATAGTAGGCATTGAGAGAACAAATGGACATTGTGGAGCAAGTCTTGTATGTACTTGCATTGGATCATCATCGATATTCCATTCATGACAAATTGTATTGCAATATATACATATAACACGATCATTTGAATTACAAGAAAACCATCCAGATAATGCCATTGATTCTTTACTCGGTATAAAATGTGGCCAATGTGAAAGAGTACGAATTCGAATTTGTCGAACAGATTCTGCTTCATTGAGAGTATATTTTGTTTTCTGATTTTCTTGTTGTGTTGAGATAGTATTTGATGAAGTAATAAGTGGTTTGTGTTCATCTATCTGACTTTCACATGAACAATTGTTCTGTACAATAGGTTGTTTGTATAAATCTTCAGTTTGCATCGTTTCAGTAGTAGTCATATTAGAACTAAAAACTATGAATTGTAATAATATATTGTGCTGATTAAATGTCTATATATATAACTTTATTTGCGCGCAAAGGGAAACTTCTTTCATCATTCTTATTCAAACATACACGCATGTAGGAAAAAACCTTGCATCGTAATGCATGTGTCATAGGCACTTTTATCGTATTCAAAGGAAAGGAAAGGAAAGGAAAAAAACAAAATATTCATGTTGTTTTTTTATTACATTAATGCTTTGTAAAGAAACCTTTTAGTTCCTTTTTTTTTTCTTTCTTTCCAATTTCACCTGGAGAGTAAAGCTGTTTAGTTGGATTCTGACCTGTGTTGTAAATAACCTTCTTATCATATGTCGGTTTTAAAAACATACCAAGCATTTATGATAAAAATTTTACAGAAAGAAAAAATGGGAAATATCTAGTCACTAATGAAAAACAACATTAATTTTATGATATATGTGTATTGACAAGTTTTACATTTCATGCTTTTTTTTCCTTTCTTCCCATGTACATACATTAATAGTCAAATGCGTATATTTTCTTTGCAAACAAAAAACGAAAACGAATAATATAATACATTGACGTGTTTCATTCTTTTTTTAGTTCCACATATATACTTTATTATATATGAAAATATCAATAAGACCCTGAAGTCTTATATAAACTTATAAATAGCTAAACTATATCGTTTTATTTGTCGCCTTTGTATTTTTTTTTAAATTATTCATAATTTTTCTATTATGTCATCATTCTTCTGCGTATAAGATAATATTCTAGAAAGATAAAGAAGTTTGTGTAGATATTTTAAATATTATTCTATTTCATCTTTTAAAACTGAATGAGTATTTTAATAATTATTTTACTCTCTCTCTTAAAATGGTAGTCTATAAGTCAAATATAATTCAGATTATTAAGATAAATAAAATTTAATTTCTTTTCTTTCAAATACTATTAATACAGAATGTTTTTTAAGCCGTTTATATTTACGATCTTCTCAAGATTATTTTATCACCATCTTAATAAAAGTAAATATATTTTTTTTCTTTTTTTTCGATAAAAGCAACTTAAAACGAATCAGAATTTGAGAATCATATCGATTAACTATTATTTATTTCAATATAAATTATCAGCAATTAATCAATTTTGTAATGAATGCTTTTAGCGGATCGAAGAATTGAAATAAAGCAATGATTACACATACAATGTCAGCGCTAGAAGTCCTTGTGAAAGAAAACAGAAGAGATAGTTGATACATTTGATTGCCAAAACAAACGTGTTTAGCTAAACATGAATTAACAACAAGCATCATTGAAATGCTATGATATATTTTATCGACTGCGATAATAATTAAGAAAATTATAGATAATATAAGATTGACAATACTAAGAAGAATAAACTATGATTCAATATTTAATATAGATACGTTCGAAATCAATACAGTAAAAGTTGATTTCATGTCTCAAAAAATAATAATATAAAATGAGTACATATCAAATACGTTAAGTATAACGTAGTTGATAATTAATAACAATCTCGTTATCTTCAAACACTTAATCAGTATATGAAATCTTATCAGAAAGTACTATCATACTTTATATTTTACAAAAATAACTTTCTTAATTATAGAAAAAATAAGATTTGCTTTCTTGTAATTAATATATACTTCAGTACAAAAACAAATTAGAATAATTAAAATAATTGACATTATAATGATTAGATAATTTATTAATCTTACTTAATGAATTCTTTTTTCTATTTAAATTCATGTTTTTTTTTGTAAACAGAAAGCAATGCATTATAACTTACATTGTATTAGCATGCAATTGCACCCACCTTTTTTATTTATTTTAATATATGATAATATATATTATTTCTAATTATTTAGCAAAAATGACGCACATAAATGCACGTTCACTTATGTAAACTTATTGGCAAAATCAAAGTTGCAAAAATTTTCTTTAGCTATAAATAATTTATGTTCCTAAAATTTGTGAAATATTTCAATCTTATTCGAAGCAAACCACTCGATTAAAATCAGAAATTTTGTTTTTTTCATTACTATTATAAATAATTCAAGTAAGGTTTATGATTTGACATATTATGGAAAAATCTATACTATTCTAAGTACATGAAAAAAATTTGTTTCACACATCAATAAATCAACATCTTAGACGATTATGTCTTATCTACTATTCTGATATATAGATAATCTAATATTCGTTTATATTGTAGATTAATAGGAAAAAAGCTAATATAACGTCATATTAACTTATTTCTTTTTTTAATCTCGTCATACAAATACAAACATGATAAATATATATATATGAAAAGAAATCATAATCACAGTCAATTAACATAGTCATCGGTGTACGTGACTTTCCCTTAGTAATAGTTTTACTAATGATGTCTGTATTATTTTCATCTCCCTTTTGTTTATAATGAACTACTTTTTTTCTACAAGTCATTCATTTACATATTCTGTAATTGTGAGAATGTCTATGCCAAGTTCAAACTCAATTGATATTAAATTAGCGTTAGCTCCGGATGGTGTTGCGATACCATATATAGCTCGTTTTTGGATGTTCCTTGTCTCAGATATCTTATCCCTTATGTGTTGTGTGTTTGTTCTTTATTATTTTCTCTTTGATTCAACTCTTCGTCGTGGTCTATATAATCATGTCTTTATTGTCGTTCTTTTCCTATGTATTATTTGGGAATTAACAATTATACCTTGGATAATGCACATTTATTTCTACAATGTTGTTTGGATACAATCACAAACATTTTGCATCATTTGGAAATTTATACAAAGTCTTATATACACTACAATACCAAAACTTGTAGGATGGGCATCAGTTGAACGAAACATTCTTATTTATCATTATCAATTGGTTTCAACAAAGAAGAAACGTATCATTATTCATTATATACCAATAATATTAATTCTTATTTATGGTATAGTTCTTTATGCTATTATCACTCCTATAAATGACTGTAAAAGAATATTTTCATACAATACAATTACGTGTGCATATGTTAGCTGTACATATAATAGTGCAACATATGCTCTATATGAATTTTTTTCTGGTGGAATATTATCTTCTTGTTGTATTGGATTTGGTAGTGCTTCTCTAATTATTCGCAATATGTATCAAAAGCATCGTTTACAACGACAAATACATTGGAGAAAACATCGAAAAATGACAATTCAACTATTATCTGTAGCATCGATATTTTATGTCTTATTTTTACCTCGTGTAGTTTTCGGTATAACTGAAGAACTTCATGTTCAACCTTCGTTCGACGCCGTCTATAATAGATACGCATCTTTTTTTGCATACTACATCGTATTTCTTCTGCCTTTTGCATGCGCAGGTACATTACCACAATTGCGTAAAAGACTACTAAAAGTTTTTGGATGTTCTTGGCGACAACGACAAATGCGTGTTGTTGCTGTTCGATGAATGACTATAAGACTTATGATGCATAGTCGAACATATAAACAGAAAAGTAGTACTCTTGAGATGTTATACTGTATTTTATCCAAATCTTATCTTTTAATAAAAATAATGTTGAAAATACATTCATTCGATTGATGGTAGCTATCTTTTGAATGAAAATGTGAATGGATATGATGAAAAATGAAGGCAAAATCTACATCACACAAACGAAATTGTAGTCAATTGGTTTTTGTATTTACATACATCAATATGTGTATTCATTTTACCTTCAACCAATTACTGAAAAATAGTTATCCTACAGGTTATTAATCATTGACTGAAATTGTCAAAATATTAGGATGAAGAAATGACTTGTATAACGCAGCATTAATAATCCATTTAGTAAAACTAACGATGTTCTAAACTTTCTGATTTAATATATTTATTAGAAAACTTTCTCTACAGATATGAATAATGAAAATACACAATTTACGCAAAATAGAGAAGACATTCATTATTGAACTTTTCTATTACGTTTTAATGAAAATTAATGATGAAAAATAATTTATTTCAGACAATCTAGTTATACAAATACGAACTATAGTTAGATTTACAGTTATTTTCATGAGCGTCTGACATGAAAAAAACTTTTGACAAAAATATCTCAACCAAAATTTGGTGCTGTGATCATTACATTTATCTAACTTAATCAAATAATTTACTAGAAACAAAAAAACTTATACTCTAACTTGTAAAAAAATTAGAAATATTTTTGTAAACAAACGTCGACAGCGGTAATAAATCATATGGCAATAAATCATACGGCAATATATCATGTAGTTCATATAAAATCATATGTCTCTTTCTCTATCGATCAATATATAGATAGAAGTATTATATAAATAACATGTATCACTTTATGATATATCATACACGGTACTTCAAGCATTATGGCTAAATCAAATTTAACTGTTGATTATTTATCGAACGATGGAAACTCAGCAAAGGTTATTTATTCTGAACCACCTGATTATACAGTTCAATCTACAGAACCAATCAATTATTCAGATACTCATACTCAAATTCATCAACCTCAATCAACGTATAATATTAATTCGTTACCCTCTAGCAACCTCAATCAAAATATAATTCAATCAACAGATAAAATTAACAGTTACATAGTTTGGTCTGTTATAAATATTATCTTTTGCAGTATATGTTTTGGTTGTGTTGCTTTATATTATTCAAACAAGACAAGAGATTTTAAAAGAGAAGGTCTTATGCAAGATGCATTAAACACTTCAAAGGTAGCTCGTAAGATCAATATAGTTACTACAATAATCGGTATATTCGGTTGGGTTATCTTGCTTATCTTGCTTATCCAATTTCTCGATCAAATGAATTCTTACACAGTTAAAACATTTCATTGATTATTTTAACTTAATCTATTTACATTATTTCAAATTATCATTTCTTATTTTAGTCTTAATAAAGAAAAAAATATCATTAACAAAATATAATTTATTCTTAATTTTGCTTATTTATTGATATAAGTTTCTAATTAAACAACATATAAATCATCTGAACTACATTTTAAAAAAATCAACTTTCATTTATACTAAAGATATTTGAAATAAAGATCTTGCAGGATTAATCTCGACTCTATAATCTAATTCTACATATCTGCAATAACAACATGTATCTTGAAATAAACGATGGGTGTAGGTGTAGACATTGATTATTGATTGATCATATCCTCACACACCCACATCCTCTCTCTAATAAGATTTATTTCCCTTCTTACAAACAAACACTAAGTCAGTGTGACTAGTCTCTTGTTGGTTTTCTCTCTTTTTCTCATTATAGTTTTTGTTTATCATTATATAAACGAGATAAAACAACAAAAAATAGAAAGAAGATCTCGAAAAAGCACGAGCCTAGTCAAAAGACCAAAATTATTTCTCCTCTCATAGCATATAAACCATATTTCTCTTTCTCTATTGATTAATCTATAAATAAAAGTATTAGATAAATAACACTTATCACTTTTTTCTATAATATTATACTCGATAATTCGAGCATTATGGCTACATCAAATTTAACTGTTGATTATTTATCGAAAGATGGTCATTCAGCGAAGGTTATTTATTCTGAACCACTTGATCATACAGTTCAATCTACAGAATCAATCAATTATTCAGATACTCATACTCAAGTTCATCAACCTCAATCAACGTATAATATTGCTTCTTCGTCACCTTCTAGCAACCTCAATCGAAATATAATTCAGTCGACAAGTGAAATTAGTAGTTACAAAACTTGGTCTATTATAAATATTTGCTGTTGCAATATATGTCTTGGTTGTCTTGCTTTGCATTATTCAAACAAGACAAAAGATTTTAAAAAAGAAGGTCTTTTGCAAGATGCATTAAAAATTTCAAAGGTAGCTCGTAATATCAATTTAGTTACTACAATATTGGGCATATTCGGTTTGGTATTCTTCCTTATCCAACTTCTCATTCAATTGAATTCTGAAACACTTAAAACATTTCATGGATTATTTTAACTTAGTCTATTTACATTATTTCAAATTATCATTTCTTATCTTAGTTTTAATAAAGAAAAAAATATGATTAACAAAATATAATTTATTCTTGATTATGCTTATTTATTGATATAAGCTTATAATTAACAATATATAAATCATTTGAACTACATTTAAACAAAGTCAACTTTCGTCTCTACTAAAGATCTTTAAGGATTAATCTCAACTCTATATTGTAATTCTACATATCGTTAATAACAACATGTATCTTGAAATAAACAATATTAGTATAGGTGTAGATATTTATCTTTGATTGATTCACATCCTCAATTCATTTATAAAATTAGTCTAGCTTATATCGATTTTATAGATTTATCTTTATTTACAAGTCTCAGTAAAACAAATTATTTTTTGATTCTATTTATGTACGTTCAGAATTTTCTATAATTTTTTATTTCTTTACATTTTTTTTGCATCGTCATCCTATATGACGTTGGTTTCTTTTTTTTGCTTTGTCACGCGTCTGCGTGTCAAGGACATATAAAAGAAACAGAACAACGTTTATTTTATAATATTTTTTTACGAGCAGAAATATTATATTAATACATATAATCGATATGTTATCTACTCGTCAATTAGGTAAAAATGGTCCTCAAGTTTCAGCTATTGGATTTGGAGCAATGGGTTTATCTGCATTCTTCGGTACTCCAGCATCTGATGAAGAACGTTTTAAAGTATTTGATCGTGCTATTGAACTTGGCAGTACTTATTTCGATAGTGCCGATATTTATGGTGATAGTGAAGAATTACTTGGAAAATATTTCAAAAAATATCCAGAACAACGTAAAAAGGTTAGTTTGAAAAACAAATTCTTTATAAAATGAATTTGTATAAATTTTTCCACAGGTATTTTTAGCAACAAAGTTTGCTATTAAATTCGGTTCAGATGGACAAGTTTCTATTCGCGGTGATGCTCAATATGTTCGCGAAGCAATTGCTAAAAGCTTGCAACGTCTTGGTCTTGATTCAGTCGATCTTTATTATATACATCGCATTGATAAGACTGTACCAGTTGAAGAAACAATCGAAGCATTAAAAGAACTTGTTAATGAAGGCAAAATTAAATATATTGGCTTATCTGAATGTTCAAGTGATACACTTCGACGAGCATATGCAATTCATCCAATTGCTTGTGTACAAATTGAATATTCTCCATTTGATTTAGATATTGAAAACGATGAAATTGGTTTATTGAAAGCATGTCGTGAACTTGGTGTAGCTATTGTATGTTATTCACCATTAGGTCGTGGAATGCTCACAGGACAATATAAAAGTCCAGATGATTTTGAAGATAATGATCTACGAAAATCATTACCACGTTTTTCAAAAGAAAACTTTCCAAAAAATTTGGAATTAGTTGAACAATTAAAATCCTTAGCTAAGAAAAAAGGTTGTACTCCAGGTCAACTAACATTAGCTTGGATTCTTGCTCAAGGTGATGATTTTATTCCAATACCAGGTACAAGTAAAATTAAAAACTTGGAAGAAAATATTGGTGCAGCTCAAATTAAATTATCGAAAGAAGAAATACAAGAAATTCGTCACTTTTCAGAAACAGCCGATGTAGCAGGTGATCGTAGTAGACCAGCACACGCTGCTCTTCTTTTTGGTGATTCTGCTCCGAAAAAAACCTAAATTGTTTATATTGTTAAATAAAATATTTTTGATCAAAATTGTTACCGTCAGAGTATAATTGAAATAAAACATACATGAGACTTATATTCCAATAGTGAAATATGTTTTTCATTAGAATTACGTCTATACGATCGATTATTTACTTTCCCTGAACTATCCTAGCTAACGATTCGTGTAGCTTTACTCCATTTGATATTTGGTCTCATAAATATGATATACAGAAAATATTCTGGTACGTTGTTATATAATAATATAAATCTTTATTATTTTTTTTGTTGATAAAGTTTTGCTAGATTTTCTTCAATATTTTTAATTGTCTGCATTTTAAGATCATGATATTGTTGTAATTTATCTTCTTGTTGTTTTTGTAATTTATTGAATTCTTTTTGAAGTTCATGATGCCACGGATATAAAACATTGATTTGAAAACCTAATGCTGCTGATGCAATAAGAAAATTAATAAATGGAAGATATTTTTGAAGGATAGAATTAATCATTTAATGCACTATATAAAATAAATAAAAATAACTTTCAGTGCTTTTTTTGTGATTGAGCAAAAAGGCGGGCTATTTATCAATACGATTTAAAAGACAAAGAAGGATTATATGAATTCTGAAAGGTTTAGGAAAGAAAATGTAGCCACAAATTGTTTATGATTCCGAATTTTTTGGCTTGTAATGAGACATGTAAATAGATAAAGCTGTACAGTTTTGCAGTATCGTATTTAGGCTATTGGTTGAAGTCATATATCAATGATGAAAACTTATAGTTATTTTGCTAACCATATCTAAGCAATTTACGAGAGATTTTTCTTTTTAAATTTTGCACTTTGTTTCTTGTATGCTATAAAAATATTCCTGCATGCTTCAATCTAGCATCAAGTATAAATATATTTATTTCAGAGGAAAAGTTTGTAATTACTTTTTTAAAGGTCTACACATGTCAATACTATGTGAATCCGTATTTATATATAAATATCTCAAATATAATATCTTGGCGTCGGTTTGAAAAATGGCATCAAATAAAAATATTACTGTATAAAATAATACGATATGATCATGCTATTTTCTCACATCATCATCTAGATTTGTCTAGATTTGCAATCTCAACGACAAGAAACATAGAAAATTCTTTTCGCTCTTGTATGATAAATATTTATTAAATTTACAATTTTTTAATCAATATTGAATATGTATAAAATTGATTTATGCTCTTCCAAATACAGTTGCTGCACAATAATCATAACAGAGTCTTCTTGAGTTTGGATCTAAGACCCGAGAGCATGGTGTACTACAAACACGAAAGAAGTGTCCTGTAATCCCGCCACTCACATCTTTAATCACTACAACGAAAAACAACAGATTGATATATATCAAAAGAACAATAAAACTGTAACGTACCCAGACAAGCAACCAGAAGAGCCAGTACCAGAATACAAATCATTATCCGCATTTTGTCAAATAGAAGAATAAAGAAAAATTATATTGATCGTTGAAGAACATTGTGCTGAGCTTTTATATATCAACTTTCTTCCGTCTATCGTAAAGTTACTTGGAAATTTCCTAGTGTATGAGTACCCATGACTCATAGGTCACCACTTGCGTATTATATAGAGGAAATTGATAAGAACGTGTAGGTATTTACCAAGTGTGATGTTAGTAAGTCAGCACCACTTATTTATCGATATTTAACAAAATGCCAAAGCATCGTCATAAATGGCATAGCGATACGGAAGAAACTATATATTTCGTAACCTTCAATATTGTTCTACTATGTACGCAAATTGATATGTATCTTAGAACTCTTCTCAAGCAATTTCGTACAGAATAAGTGATCACAGATATATATATACAATATAATTATTTGACAAGTTCTTTTTAGAAATAAACTAAAATTTATGAGAGTGCACAATATAACCTATCAAAGGCTTAACTAATATGCCAGTAAAATATGATTATTTTTATTTATATGTAATTAGATACTCAGCATATGCTTGTGCATCATGATAAGTAACAGTAATATGATCTCCATCTGTCGTTGAATCGTATCCAAATGGTCGAGTTTTCATATAACTATTTCCTTTAATTGTCTTTCCAACAAGAACACGAGCAACAAACATACATCGTTCTCCTTTTGCATTTGTTTTTGTATATGCATGACTATAAGCTGCATTTGATGAGAAATAAACACCTAAACCATACAGTGTACCTAAAAGAATAATAAAATATATAGGTATGATAGAAAAATTCCGAAAAGAAATAGATACCATTGACACCCGCAAAACTTCTATTAAAACAATCTTGAATAATTGAATCTGCTGCTGAACTTGGACATCCATGATATAAACGCTTTTCTGTATTTTTATTTAATCGCTTTCTAAAATCTTCCCAATGAGCCATGTATTGCATGTGCCAACGTAGATTTTGAATTCGTTCAAGTTTAATGATTTGTGTATATTTGTTTGTCATTGATTGAAGAAATTTATCAATAATCGAGTTATACTCATCTGTGTTTTTTGGCACAATAGTTCTTAATTGTTCGTTTTCAGATTGTTGTCGTGTTAAAGATATTGGATAATCGCCAGATAAATGATCAGATAATAAAAGTTGCCTACAAAATTCATCATAAACGTTTTGCTGATCAGCTGGAATAATGAATTTTACTGTCCACGACAATTTTCTCGTTTGAATGTGTTGTTTCATCTCCCTAACCATCGTTTTAACTACAACATCAACAGAACAAGCATGTCCTTCACATCCGATGGCTGAAAATGCAATTGAAGTATAGTTATATGATCGAACGTTTTGTACAACAGTTGATATAAGATCAATGACTGATTGTCGAAGAATTTCATTATTATTATCTGGCTCCCATTTGACGAAAAATATTCTTTTACAAGACAGAAGACCTGGAGGTGCCGAAATAAGTAATGAATTTGGATTATTTTCATATTCTCTAATGTAAGACAAATAAGTCTGATATCCAGCTGCTTCCAGTAAAACTTCGCATAACTTTTTCGACGATGAACTTACAATTATAACATCCATCTTAAGCAAAATATATATAATATTTCAACAGAATATAAAAATAGATACTTACTGTTTGTTTTGTAATATCTCCCTTTTCAATTTCAATTAACCCATTTCCAATGGTTAATGGAATTGGTTGTACAACTGGAGTTTGTTTCGGCTTTTCCGATTTAAAAAGTTTGCTTAAGAATCGACGAGAACTGGTCTTTGCTGGCTAAATTTTGAAAAAACAAACTCTTGTTTCATGAAGAACAATTCTTTATGCGTGGCTGATAAAACGAAATCTTTCGTTTAGTGGTATGTCAAAAAATATACTAGGCGATGGGGGTCCGACTAACTTTTGGTCTACTAAATCACTCAATTTTCTCTTGCATAAATAAAACTGAGAATTAGATTATCTATATAATATGTAATACGAACCTTTTTTATTGAATCTTTATCAGGATGATCAATATAAGTGTTGGGAAATAGAAGCCTATGTGCAAGTGTATTAGACACACGATCTAAATCAGCTGAATTTCTACGATGCTGAAATATCGGATTGTTTTGTTGCGGTGTGGATCTACAGAGAAAATTAGTTGTTTTTAATCATCACTACTGAGAGTTTGTATAAAAAAACCCACTTAGCATGTTCTATAATTGTAGTTGTTGGTTTAATATCAGGATAAGAGGGTAATTTCCTCCCTGCCATTTCTGATACAATATCAAATCCAATACAAAAATATAAAATACCATTTTGAATAAGCGTATTTTTACTTTGCAATCTATCCCGATGAATAACATATAGAATAGTCATACAGATAATTACGTCGTTTTGGAGGCCTTTATAAAAAACAATGATGTATTTCATAAAAAATAAATGTTCCTTTTCAGTAATATTAATCGCATGGAAAGTAAAAACAATATATGAACAAATAATGAATGATGATATAATCTGTCGAAGAAATAATACTGTATGACATATATTTGTTACGTAAGAACTGGGACCTTGTAATGAAATCCTTGAATTAAAGCAATCTTCTGGGAAATTGTTCGATTTTTGAAAATGAACCCAGAAGGTATCATTATTAACTAGAATATTTAATTGCACAATTAATAAACCTAAGAATATTTTTTGTGCGATATGAATGTAATTTGTGTATGAATATCTGAGAAGAGTAACATTAGTCAGAATAAAAAGTAGTAAGTCAAGGGTCACGATCATTTTTCTTTTCCATCGATAATCACATTTCTGACGAATAATATCGAGACTAATAATAAAACGAATGAATAAAAACAATAACGAAAGATCAAGACGGTTCGATAGTTTTTGCTGATCAACATTTTCCGTTTTATATTGATATATAAATAATAGATTGATTAGATCAATTGTAATCGGAAGTATTTCAATGAACTTCAGAAGTGTTATAAAAATGATGTGTTGTCCATGATCACGTTTTATCAATAATAATAACACACATGTAACACAAAAAGACACGAAATGCAGTCGTTGAAGTATAGCTTCGAGAGATGTTGGTAATGTGGATGATAACTGAGTACCATCAAGTTTAGACGATGTGGATTGTAGGAAGGAGTAAAAAAATATTTCCAATGCAATTGTACTAAAGTAACAAAATGTTAAAAGAGAAGCTCCTGCCATTTGTTTCTGCAGTTTTCGAAGCTTTAGACGATCATTTGTCCTCATCTTTGTAGCAGCAAACCACGAAGAATGGTTTTATCTGAAAAATATGAGAAGATTATCTTATAAGTAACTAACTTGAAAGGTAACTATTTTTTTTGTCTTTCGTAGATTTTATAATTTATCATCTTCCGACACATACCTCACTTGCTGTTATTTACCGTCTTGTGTCGCGTTTTTTTTCTGTTCTTATAGAAAGTTAATGTTGGTAAAAAAATGTGATTCTAACAGAACAATAAATATGAATCATCAAAATGACGTATTATAGTTGTTTCAGTATGCTAAATAGATAAGGATAGGCTGTGGAGTAATGTTAGTTTACTAGAAAATTCGATCATTAGAGAGCTCAGAGTTGCTCAGAAAAGTATTTGATCTGATCTATAACGAGTTAGAAGGATATTGTTTGGAAGAAACTTACGTACGAAAAGATTGAGTAAGATTGTACAACCTACATGGCGTTTCGCTGCTAAAAAAATTACCTACTGTGATAAGAAACAAAAAAACATCGACTTTTTTATATGTAAAAAGCGCACATTTTTACATTAAAAATGTTTTCTTTTGCTTTCGGAGACAGTTGAACTTATGAGGCAATACTTTCAAATATATTTTTTTTTCGAAATATAAGATTTTTATACGTAAAAGCATTGTTTTTTTCCTTTTTTTTATCTGTCTCAGCAATTGAAGAACGAAAAAAACTGACGAGTTTTGTTTGTATAATCACCTGTGCTGTTGTTTAACATCACTGCAGGTATGACTTTGAATTAGCGATGGCGATTTCGCTGAAAACGGACAAGTTTCAATCTCTTTTCAACAAAAAAATTGTTTGTTTAGTTTTTCATTACGGTATTAGAGGCTGCCTTTCAGAAACATAAATTAAGTTCTATTCATCAAGCCCCCAGTCTTCTAATTCAGATGGGGTTCCAATCTGCTTAAACTTAATGGCTCTGCTATCTCTGATCATAATATACTAACAGTTGCAATTGCATCAAGTCAGAATGATGAAAATATGGTAGGCTAGGTGGCCTCTGAAATAGAGCCCTTACTGAAAAAGCAATAAAACTTTTCCCTTTATTTCTTAATTATTATAAAAATTATAAATGAGTAAAACTTTACTGGAAGTTAAAAGAACAGTTGATTCTAGGACAATTTGGTTACCAATGATGAGTCAATCACGAATTAACATGATTAGGCCACTAGAAAATTAAAGACGCTTTCAAAATGCCAAAAAAAGCACTTGAAATATTAAATTGATGAATACTTAATATATATATGTTCTACAGTTCGACAAATTAGCAATATATTTAGTTGTTGATACATATAATCGAAGAAAAAAACTTACAGTAAATCTTCATCATTTATAATCTTTATGACCTAAACTGCTAGTAAAGTTCTAACCAATTATATAACTGATATGACACTGATTTATGTATTCATTATAAAATATCGTAAAGAAATAAACGAAGGATACTGAACATGATTGTTATTCGAAATATTCCAGTAGTACTTAGAAATTTATCTATTAATTAAATAAATAATCTGTAACCTTATCATTGAATGCAGAATTCGAAAGCAGCAATTATTACTACTCAGTATCAATTGTATTCTTATACATGTATTGTATAACAAAAAAATAGAAGATATTTCTATATAGTTAAGTACACATTTTTATTTCAATTTGATAACATCACTTATTCAATATACATAATTATAAAACAAAAAGTTCAACAACAAAAAAAATAGACAACGAAATAAGATATAAATAAATAAATAAATAAAACTCTTCTTCTATATTCTACCAAAAACTAAACATTTCACTTTTTCTTTCACATCGTTGGCAAGGTCCAGATGTACCATATGCACCTAAAACAATACTCATATTATTTAATATATTCAACACAAAATAATAAATACATACATTTGTTACAACCATCACAATGCCATTCACGCCAATCACGGCATGATTTACAAATAGAACAATGCCAATCGCAATCTTCTTCAGCAAGATCATCATTACAAAATGAAAAATAACGTGTTGTTGCATCATTTGATAGAAGCATTCGAAATAATTTTTGCATATGACTTATTTTATCATCGACTTCAATTTGTTTCCATTTTTGTGACCATTCTTTAAAATCTTCATCATCATCTACTTCGGAAAATCTAAATATAACATAGATGATTATTATTAGTTTAGCAAAAAACAAGACAAATAAATAATTACCTGCCACATTCGATGATTTTTTTTACTAATGCTTCACGATTGATGTTTTGTAATGCATCTGAAGTTTTAACATTTTTTACAAGCCAATCAGAAAAGCATGAATTGGCAATACATTTGCTATCTTCACCAAAGAAAAATTCAAGGTGATTGAATAAATTTTGACATGATGGACCACATCCACATGTTGAATCACATCCACTATTGGATTTATAACAATAACAAGAACGTTTTGAACATCCGGAACGACAATTACATTTTTTCTTCTTGTTTTTTGTTACATTCGAATTTTTTTTTGTTTTTCGGATGGTTTTTGGTTTTCGATTTTCATTTGAATAATCTTCATTTAACATTATTAGAATAGTCTAGATTTAAAAGAAAAAACAATACGATATGGAAAGGAAAGAAAAAATATCTTACATATTCAATTAAGACTAGTCGATGTGAAGTAAAATATATATATATTATGATCTAACTAAAGAATAAGTCGTTAAGTCATAGTATATATACATACTTTTGAACGAAAAAATATACATTGTTTGAAACAGCATAGATAACCAATCGTATGATTTGGAGGTAAATGATCAATCTTATCTCAGAAGATGATAAATAATAATTTATTTCGTATATTATTTCATTGAGAAAGTATATCTGAAACGAAAGAATTTTATCAAAGTCTATCGTTTTATTAACAGATGACGCTATCGAATGATTTCATTGAATTAACGAATAAATATACGTTAGTTTAATTAAATAAGTTTGATATAAAGTATTGAAGAGAAGTTTTACACCAATTGTTTATTCTTCTTCTCATCAAACTCTGTATTAAATTTAGATTAGATTATTCTATAAAATTATTGCAATAAACTAAAAGTTTTCGATGCGCCTCTTTCTCTTGATTAGATTGCAACAAAAGATAAACGAGTGCAAATATTTCAAAGAAATGTAACATCTTCATCCTACGATTGATACATATGAAGCTTGTATTAAAGTATATTTTTCAGATACAGTTTATATATTTCTTTCTATTATCAACATCTTCTTTATCATATACATACAAAAAAAAACATACAAAAAGTTTTCTTCTCTCTTCACTCCACTTCAATTAGTAAAATTGTAATTACTTAAAGCATATAGAAAGAATGATCTATTAACTAGATTGTGACTTTTTTGTGTTTTTTCTCTTTTTTTTTAAATAACAAAAAAGCGACGATTTTATTTATTTCTTGGTAACAATATGGTGCAAAACTTTTCTAGTCGTTCTTCTATAGATTAAATATTAACATAGAAAGACTTCAAAACGTTCAGAGCAAAGAAAATAGTAATAAAAGTTAGTTAAAACAACTGAAGACAAAACAATTACAAAAAAAAAGAAAATGTTTCGAATGCTTATTTTCATAGTGTTATTTTCTGTTATTGATTCGATTAAAATTGGTAATATACAGAATAATATCATGATTGGAAGTGTAAAGAGTACATTGTTTAATGTAAGTCAAAATCAATGTATATGTCAAATGGTTCAATCAAATATATTTGCTATTAATTATTATCAAACAAATAATACTTGTCAATTATTTAATTACAATGGTAGTTCGATTTTTCTTCAGAACAATTTCAATTCTTCGTTTATATTTATTAATCAATCATCAACGTTAATAACAAATATTCAATCTTATGGTAAATTTATTTTTAGTTTTTAATGTATGAGAAACTTAGAGAAATATATTGAGGGGTGTGAGTGTGGGTGTAAATATGAATACGATATCTATATATTAATTTCATGTATTCTAGTTGTTTCATCATCGCCATTTGTAATCAATGCATTTTGGTCTTTTGATGGTACTTTGAATGATCGTGATTCAAATTACAATGGTGTTCTACTTAATAATCCTTCTTTTTGTAGTCCAGGTATAACTGGTTATGGTTCAGCACTATGTTTTAATGCCAGTCTTAATCAATCGGTGTTAATCAATCCATCAATTAATTTCAATCTATCCAATCAAAGTTTTACATTTGAATATTGGATTTATCCCTATACATTAGCAACTAGTAGTGGTGATCGAGGTATGGTGGGCCTATGTCAATCTCTAGCAAACAACCTATGTTTACATATGACATTAAGAGGCGCTAATGTTCGAATTAGTTTTTATGGTAATCAATGTACTGGTGGAACAACTATAATAGTAAATAAATGGTATCATTTAACATTTGTTTATGATTATGTTGCATCTACTCAACGAATTTATCTTAATGGTATTCTTGAGTGTAATCATTCGAGTTCTACACCTTTACAAATAACAAATATAACATATATTCCTCTTACAATAGGTATGACGTATCCATTAGCTCCATTTTATTTTGATGGTATTATTGATCAATTAACATTAGTAGGATGGGTGAAGAATGCTTCGGATATTCTCAATGATGCCACACTTGTTGCTTGGTATAATTTTTATAATAATTCATATAATGACTATGGACCTAATGGAATCAATGGATCTGGTATGAATACAACATTTGATAATAATACTCTTTTCTTTAATGGAACTCAATCGTATTTTCAATCAACTGGCTTTGTTCTTCTTGGAATTGATAATAGTTCGTATTCTTTTTCTCTTTGGATTAATCCGTCTCAAACAAATGCTTCAACAATTATACTTGCTTATCAAAATAGTTCCAGTTATAGTAAATGGTGTTCGGTATATTTAGGATTTACTACGCAAGGTCAAATTCAAGCACAAAGTCAATCGAGTAAAGGATTTATAAATGTATTAGGTCCGTCGATTTCAACTTATGTATGGACACATATTGCTCAAACATTTTCTTCAACTAATGGTATTAGTCTTTATATCAATGGATCATTATTCAACAGATCAGCATCGACTAATTATCGTAGTGGTTCTGCACCGTTAACAATAAGATTAGGTAATTCGTTTACTACAGTTAATCAAACATGTTTGAATACAACCAGTCAAGGAGGCCAATATATGGGTTGGATGGATGAATTTCGCATTTATTCAAGAGAATTATCATCTAGTGATGTACAAACATTATCATCAACAAGATAATTTTATTTACTATGAAATAAACTGAACTAAAATCGATGTTGTCTTGTTCGTTCATTATAAATTCATATATTTACCTAATTGTATTCTAATATAAATTACCAAATAAACTATTCACTGATCAATTCAGCGTATAAAATCACCATCTCGCCAAAAATATTCTGAATAACAAGTTTCTTTAGGGTGTGGGTGTCTTGTTTCTCTATCTTTCAGCCACACCCACAAGATACTCATATCATTACTTGCGCATCTACATCCAACCCTCTATTGCACAAGATGCTAATGCTTTATAAAAGAAAAATATGACTAAGCTTTTTTTGTTTTCGGTACTCATTTCAACTGTTTTTTTCTTCAACATCAGTTTCTACTCTTATAAAGTAAAAAAACATGGATTCCAGTTTCTAAGCTATTCAGCCCGAAGCAGACAAAACAAATTCTAGTGTTTTTTTTTCTCTTATGTGAGCATATCGACAGCATACATTTCGTTGTAAAAAACATTAACGCGACTTGCTACCAGCACCATGAATTAATTTTGCCAAAGAAAGTACTAAACAACAATTGTGTATTTTTCTGAGTAATAATTTTATTTATAAAACCCAACCTAAGACAGCATATTTTTTAAAACACGCCTAAAAATGATATAAGCACTGATTATAAAAAAATCGAGATTAGAATAATGTAATAAAACGAGAGAAATAGGAATTAAAAAAAGATTCTACAAAAAAAAGAAGAAAACTACGATTTATTTGTCTTTTTTTATCGTCTTAGATCTTATTAAACCATACATTTTTGATATAATGACCAAATATTTGACTCGAAATACGGTCCATTCATATAATTTGGAATAGTGGTAATTAAAAAGCTGTTCAATGATGTGATATAACCAACACCAGTTGATGCGGTAAAATTTTGAATCCAAGGACCTCCAGAACAACCACCAGTCATATCACATGGGATTGTCTGACCAGTATAACCATTACCGTATTTCGAAGCTGCAGCGCTACCTGAACAGTACTGCATTATTTCACCCTGTGCTAAATTGTATGGATAACCAAATGAATAGGTTATCGCATTTCGTGGATAATTAGAACCAATTCCTTCAGCACCTAATAAATCTTGAATATGTTGACCTTTTGAATTTGTATAGAGATTCACAAAGCAAACATCGTAATTAAAGTTTTGGTTAACTGTCCATGCAGTATATGCTGTCATAGTTCGTGCTGCCCATTTTCCATACGGTTGTGCTCCACTTTTGTAGTCAGGAATAAAAATGAAATTTTGACTAATACGAAATTTATTTGTATCATGATCAAAGCAACAGTGGCCAGCTGTAACAATTGTGTCTTTGTTGTTAGATGTAACAATTGCACCTGAGCACATTCCATAACTGTTACCAGTATTGTTCCAAAATATTTTGCCTGTCGTATACGTTTGACGTCCTGTAGATGTAAATACTTGTCTACTCGAGGCTTTATCAGGATTTACTGCTGCTGATATTGCGGCCTTTTGCAATGATCCCATTGTTCCGTCGACAAGAACTCGTGGGCCATTATTTGGTATCTCAGTTTTTGTAGTTGTTTGAGAATTGATCTTGCGAATTGGCATCACCGATTTTGCTGCTTTCAATTTATCATCAGTCCAAAAGGAAAGAATTTTATCAACACTTTTGTCGAATGAAATGAGTCGTGATGAAGGAGAAACATCACTACTAACAATTGTAAATGGATCATTTGCAATTGGTGTAGTTGCAACAAAACAAGCAGTACCAATTAAAATCAATGATAAGGTGAACATATTGTTGGTTTTCTATATTAATCGATGTTAACGTTGTTTGCTACCGTCGCTTAATGAATTTAGATGTAAAGTCTTTCTACTTTTATAGTCCTTTTTCTCTGACGCATTTCTATAGCAATGACATTACTTATTTTTGTTTATGAAAAAAACCCTACGGCTGTAATTTCAGTTTTGTCATACCACAAACACTTAAACAATCTATCAAAGAAACGGTTGCCAGAGAGCCATTCACCAGTTCCTTTCTTTTTCTCTTCCTATGTCTATAAAAAGAAAAATCTTAAAAGAAGATTTATTGTTTTTCAAAAAGAAAAATTAAAATAATACTGGAATAAAGATTCTGGAGAGAGTATGTGCGTGTCAATGAAAATAAGTTTGAGACGCAGATGCATTAAGAATGAAAAAAAGTGAAATATTAAATGTTTCGCGTTTACATACGTTCTCACCAATCGTTTATAGTTCCCATTAAAAAAAGTCAGTTCTCGTCAGAAACTTCGAATTTAAGATAAATGCATGGCAGAATAATCCATCTTCTGATCTTTCAGAAATCACATCGATTTTTCTTGGGCATTTCATTTTCTCTCAGTTAAACTTCTTCAATCGCACGTGGCAAATTTTTTCTTCCGATACTTATGCAACATTTGAGTTCGAATTATGAATCGATAAAATATTAATATTTCATATTCATTCCGTCTATTGTTAAGCCATAAGTAGCATTAAAGACTAAATTGATGAAACGAAGAAAAAGGAAAGCTATACTATATGACATCTACTTCTTACGTCATTTATGTATACTCATCAATATTATAAGAATGTCTGTCATTTTTACAATAGGTTTTTGAGCTTATTGTTAATGACTTTGCTTTTGAATTGTTTTTCAAACAAATAGATGGCATGTTATTATTGAAAAAAGATTAAAAATCATCGAAATACATCAAAATATTTACAGTAAATCAAGTTTATTGTGTCAGATTGTATCAAATAAGATTCTTTGCTTATTCTCATTGTCATTAATGTCCTTTTTGATTGTAAAATAATTCTGTTTCTTTTAACGACCATTGAATACAATAAAAAGTTTTATTTATTCTGAAAATTAATATTGGCAACAGCTGCTTTATATTTTTGTTTTCCGTTGTATTTACATATAATCAAAATGATTCAATCAAGTATAAAAGTGACAAACGTAGCAGTATTTTAGCATTAAAAGCGTCCTTATTTTTATCATATTTGGGACACAATCATCTTGCAAGGTGTACGACAATTAATTACATTAATTATGACCATAATTTGTCGATATTGTTCAAAATTCTGGAATGAATTTAAGACGTAAGAACTTATTTATTTTCAATTCAGCAGTTAAATATTTTCTTTCTGTAGATTTACTCTTCGTGGAAATGTTCTTGATATAGCTGTTGGTCTTATTATCGGTACTGCTTTTGCGAATGTGGTTAAGTCACTTGTTGAAGACATTCTGACGCCACCTCTCGGTTTAATACTTGGCGGAGTGGACTTAGTTAACCTAACCATAATAATCAACAATTTTATTTATATTCATGAACCACCTGTTATCATACGTTACGGCAAATTCTTACAAGCTACATTGTATCTAGTTGTCATTGGTCTCGTTTTCTTCTTGCTACTTAGAATAATCAACGACATGTGTGATGTAATACATCACATAAAAATCACACCTGGAGCATTCATCGAATTGACTGAACATACAAAAGTACTTCGTGAAATTCGTGATCTATTATCTTTTCCGATAAAACCAGATGCTACACATCAGACAAATGATGATACTTCAACGACACGAAGACTTGTATCTCGACCTGAACTTTAAGGCATATTTGTAACATACGATGTAGATATGAACGGATATAAGTATATGTGTGTAACCGAACATATAGAATATTCGTTCGCTATTCCTTCATATATATGATCATATGGTAATTTTTTTTTTATTATATTAAAGCGTTCTTCTTCTGTTGTTAATTTGACTTATATTGAAATGTTTTATTTCCAAGTAATAAACTAAAGGATATTATGTAAGTATTTTTCCTAGAATATTTTGTATCACAAGGAATGGGAATAATCAAAGTAATATTCTGTAACAAAATATTTCAAATATCAAACAGATTCTAAGGTACTCTTCATTCTGTTTTTATATGTCTAATTCCTTTGTTTCATCCTAACACAGTTTAGATGAAGACGAATTAGTTTACTGATAACTCTACAGAAGTCAAAAATTTGATAGAGCGTCAAATTTTACACTTAAATAACAAATTTTTAGCTCTTTCTGAAAAGCATGTCAAGAAATATGAAGTCATCTGTCAATCTTCCTCAAGTTATACCTTACAAATTTTGAGAATTATAGAGATCTTGAAGATCAGTGTGGGTAAAAGAAATAAATCGACACCGACACCCTTCTTTTTTGTATAAACTAATAAGACAAAAAAATCGTAAAGAGATTTACTCATGCTTTTTTCAGTATTCTATGATTTGCAGGCAATTTTCAAGGATTTAATAGATACTACCGTATATGTATAATTTAAAATTCATTTATATTCTATGTAAGACAAGTCAATAAACTACTGAATGATTTTTCTTTATGTATACGTACAGTACTTAACAACAACTAGAGCCAAATAAAATTCTTTCAAAAATTTAGTTGAATTGAATCTAATGAATGTGTAAATAATTGACGGGATATAAAAAGCAAAGTATTTTATTAAACTATTTTATTGTGTATGTACATGTTGATAATTGCGATACATTGTGTGATGAAATATTTTAGTTAAATCAATTTCAAACGCATCATCTTCAGACATGACAACTGTAAGTCGAATTTCATCTGATAGTAAATAGTAAGAGCACTACTACATATTGCCTTTTAATTATAAATGAAAGATAGAAGATGTAGGTGGTGTAAATACATTGTCATCAATCGATAATAGATCGACAGTAAGTTAGAATTTGATAATTTCATTGATATATGATCAAAGTAAACATAGATTAAAATTAAAAACTAAAAATAAATCGCATATTTTATGTCTATATAGAATTTCAAATGAATTACACAAATTTTTTGATTCTCCTGGACACAAATCTAATTCGTTATATTTATTTGAGTACAATAGATAAATATCTTAATGAAATTTAAATACTAAATTCATTTAATATGAGCATAAATTATCATTTTTTCTCAGAATTTTTTCAATGTTGATTTTAAAGCATTATTTGATTGAAGACTATGATTTTGATTCATAATCATCAGTCAAAGATCTAATGAAAAATACATTTAATTGTGTTTTGGACGGTAAATATTTTCATAAGTAACTGTAAAGAGAAACCAAAAAACTGAAGCACATGTGTCAATCAACACAATAGTCATACAAAAGCTTCACAACACTAATTATGTTTGTTTTATTCCATTAGCAGTATTTTTCCAATATGTTTATCAAATGTTTCGGATAAAAAGTATTAATAGTTAGTACATATTATAAAATGAAATTGTTTAATTGAACCAAAGTGTAAATGAATGATCGAATGTGAATTGAATCTATTACTGATGTCTATGTACATTCACATGCAATCTACATTTACACTCTCGAATTAATAATTCTCAGATATGTAGGCAAAATATTTGATATGTCAAGATAGAGAATAATCAACTTTTTTGATATCGGTAACTAATGGAAAGATGTAAATTATTCTAAACAATAATTTAATAGTAATTATCTATGCTTCAGTAAAGACAGAATATTATAGTCAACAACATGTACTTCTCACGTCAGTTTTTATTTAAACATGTGCGATAAATTATGAGGGAAATATCGAACGAAGAATTCAATAAAATGATGTGCCAAAGGAAGTGACCATAAAAATTTCATGAGCGTGTTTGTCTGAGTCGAAATCTCGTCGTCTTATACAATGCTGCTATTTATAATTCATGAAGACGCCGATAGGTCAATTAGAATTAAACTTCTCAGATGTTTAATTTGCAATAACTTGATGTTTGTTTAAAAGAAAAACATCTTCAAGATTCAAAATCTGACTCATCTACATTCACATCTTTCATTTGCCATTTACACATCGCTATTCAAATAAATACATAATTAAATTTGAACAATTCTTTTCTTCATCAATCTCATTTGATTTACCATTTTATCATATAGGTCTGATAAGGTATGCTATTTGATATATTTCAGAAGTTTGTTTCAATAGCATAAGCACATCAAAAATAAAATCATACATAGAAAAAAGATATTTTGTCAATTAACAATATAATTCAACTAAAGAAATGTAAAAAAATGAAGAAAATACGATAAATCCTTGTTATTCGTCTTAATGAACTTGAAAATATTTTATCAACTTTTACATTGAAATGACCGACAAATAACAATAATGAATGAGTTACACTCACTTTAACCAAGAAGTTTTTGAAGACGACTTTGCACTAAACTACTAAAACGTATTCACTTATATATACTTACTTTCTCTGTTAAACTATACATATTTTCATTCTTTTCTTTTGAATCATTATTTGCAAATAACGTGTCTCTTACATATGAAACATAAGAAAGACGTCTTGATTATAGACTCTATCAGTTTGTTTAGTTTTTTTTCAACGTGAAAGAAAGCCGCTTTGCGCATCACTGATCATTATACTAAGGAAGAGATAAAAATATGTACACTTCACAATGTTACTCAGGATTTTACTCCTATCTGATCATTTGTAAGCATATTTAACGGTAACTATCATGAGTGATGTTCAATGTGAGATGACTATTGTAACTATAGACTGACTAGCAAATGTATAGATATAATTAAATATTATCATAAACCTTTATCAACGAGAATAGTAAACACAAAAATAGAATATCATACGTACATTTCAAATAGTAACAAAAATTCGTATTATTCACAAATGCAATCCATTTATGATTCAACATTATTTCTCGTATAAAGTTCAGTTTTCGGTTTCATAAAGTATACAGTAATTTAGTACAATTATTACAGTTTAAGGAATATCAAATAATTTCTTACTAAGAAACTAGTCAGTTTACTTAAATTTTACTAAACAGTATATTTAAATATTGTAGAGATATTATCAGATAGAAAACTTTAAAATCCTGTCTTCCTTATGCATGCGGTTAATATACGATTTTAATTAGTTATGCAAGGCCTGTAATTTGAATTCTTATGGCAACTAAACCATCAACTTCGAATAAGGCAAGTTTGTCTCATAATAATAATGGACTTATTCATACGGTTACTGGTGAAAATAAAGAAAATACAACATTACTTTGGTTTGATCCAAGTATTGGCTCCGAAGAAGATACGGAAAGAACACAACAAGAATTACGTTCAATTAATGATTTTGTTATTTTTCAAACTGATCTTGATAAATGTATTGCATATATTCAATCTATTGCAAATGAAAAAATATTCTTAATTACATCAGGATCAAAAGCATCAGAAATTCTACCACAAATCGCAGATCTATCACAAATTGATTCGATATTTATTTTTTGTATTCAAAAAGATAAATATATAGATTTAATTAATATCTATCCAAAAATTATTGGTATTTATGTTGAACTTGATGAATTATCTCAATCAATTCGAGAACAAGTTAAACTTGTTGATAAACAAATTCAAGCATTTAGTTTTTTTGATCAAAATCAAAAATCAACAAAAGATATATCAAAACAAACAGCAGAATTTCTCTGGTTCCAATTATTCAATCATGTTATTATTCGTTTACCAAGAAATCAACAAGCAAAACAACAGATGATTAATTTATGTCGACAATATTATCGTGGTAATATTAAAGAAATTAAATTAATTAATGAATTTGAACGTGAATATCGTTCCGATGATGCTATTCGTTGGTATACAAAACAATCATTTGTTTATCAAATGATCAATAAAGCATTACGAACAGAAGATATTGATATGTTACATACATTTCGATTTTTTATTGGTGATCTTTCTGAAAGACTTGTTCGTGAACATGAAAAAATTTTATCATCTGAACAACAAATATTAACATTTTATCGAGGAATGAAAATTGATAGAGAAGAATGTGATAAAATGAAAGAAAATCAAGGAAATCTTATTACAATTAATGGATATTTATCAACTAGTCGACTTCGTATACCAGCACTTACCTTTGCATTGAAAGCAACAAAACGAACTGATGTTGTTCCAGTTTTATTTCATATTATATGTGATGTACAAAAACTTGGTAACAATGTCGTATTTGCTGATGTTTCGAAATTTAGTGTATTTCCTGATGAAGAAGAAGTTTTATTTGATATTGGTGTATCATTTAAAGTTCAATCGGTTATGAAAGATGAAACCTATTCAAATTTATGGTTGATTAAACTGGAAACAATTGATGAAAGTGCACGAATAGTTAATGACTATGTTGAATTAAATAGAAAACAAGAAGAAGAAATTAGTGTAACTATTATATTTGGTAAATTACTTACATCAATGGGAAAATATGATCAATCATTAAATTACTTTCAAAGTTTATTATCTAATGAATCGGAAAATGAAGATAAAGCTCGAATATATAATAATATTGGTTCTGTCTATCGTTATAAAGCTCTTTATGATGATGCAATTAAAAATTATCAACATGCTATTGATTTAATGATGAATACGAAACCAGAACCACGAATAAAAGATTCAGCTAGACCAATAATGAATATGGGAAATGTTTTTCTTGATCGTTGTGAATTGGATAAAGCATTGAAACAATATTGGCAATCATTAGAAATAACTGAACAATATTATGGTGAAGAACATTTACAAACAGCGATTGTCTTACTTCATATTGGTGGTGTTTATTATGAACAGAAAGATTTTAATCGAGCATTAAAATATTTTAAACAAGCACTTGAAATTCGTGAAAAACGATTACCTAGTGTACATATTCGTATTGCACAATGTTTAACAGCTATTGGACGTGTCTATTCTGATATGCAAGAACTTGATCAAGCTCTTAGTTATCATAGAAATGCATTGGATATGTTTAATAAATTATTACCATCAGATCATAATGATATAGCGAGTTGTCTAATAAATATTGCTATTGTATTACATAAACAACAAGAGTTAAGTACTGCATTAGATTATTGTTTGTCGGCATTGAGAATTAAGCAAAAAGTATTTGGAGAATCAAATAGTCATCCTCAAATTGCTGATACATTACACAGAATTGGTTCGATCTATGAAGATCAGAAGAATAACACATTAGCACAAAAATATTATGAAGATTCATTAATTATGAATTTAAAAATATTACCAAATGATCATCCAAACTTACTACGATTGAAACAAGATGTAGCTAGACTTACAGAAAGAAACTAACAAGATGTTTATCACTCTTTTTAACATCTCATATCGAAAAAAATATTTTTTCATATTTTTTATAGACATAAATATCCGTTAATAATATTGATGAAATTGTTAACAAAAGCTAATGTTTATTTATTTTTGTATGAAAGGAATATATAAAGTAATAAATTATTTATTTTATTCGAATTTAATAACTAGTAGAATGATTTTTAGAAGTTCGAGAAATAGCAGAGATCCTAGCTTAGATTATGAAAAATCAAAGTATATCATTGGACAGAATTCAACAAATTCGACTTAAAGCACTAATGGACTATTATGAACTATGTATTGATGTAACTGCTTCAATCCGACAGTAAATTCTCATATGTAATATTTGTTAATATGTCGAACAATGAATGTGAACGTTTATTTATTTCTCATATGTTACAACGTCATATTTCGTCGTGTTTATCTACCTTCGATTATAAATTTTCACACAGACAGCAGTCGCTTGCTTATTTTTTTTTCTTTCATTCCTGTCATCAACTCCATAATTATCGAGTTCCACGTGTGTTGATGTTGTTTTTTATTTTTTTTCTTCTATCGTGAGAACATTGTAAAAAATTTGTTACTATATAAATCAGTAGATTTTTAGTTATGTTGCTGCACATTTTGAAATCTCATATAATGCTTTATAATGTCTGTGTGATTGACTGAACTAAAAAACTGTTTTTATTCTTTTAGAAATTTGAATCAAAGCTTGAATAATTTTACTGTTGTGAGCACATTAAACATGGCAACGATTGTTGATCAATCTCAATTGTCAATGACATTTGAAGAAAAAATACATGCAACTATTCTATCTCAGCAAAAACGAACACTCAATTTACCAGCTGTACAACGAAAACGGAAAAAAATTTCCATAGTACCTGTCGGCTTGTCGAGTACAATAAATGATCAAAATATTGAAAATATCATCAAAAATCTTGACAATTATCTATTTGATGGTGTGATGCTACTTGTCTGGTGTAAACGAACTACATTTTATAATAGTGAATTCAAGAATGATGATCAGAGCAATAAAACATCGCCATTCTTTCGACAATGGATATTATTGTATTTGAAAAAGCCTGATCAAGTACTTTCAACACATTTAAATACAATTCCAAAATATGGTGGTTGGGGAGATCTAAAGGCACTGTATTCATGTGCAGATCACATGAAAAATCGATTTCCAATCGAATTAAAATTGCTTGAGAATCTTCAGGTAGCATGTGTCAAAATGATTGGTGATCAGTTGAAACATGATTATCAAATTATATCTGATAACCAGTCAGATGAAAATTCGAATGCAGAAGAAGTGTCAACCACAATTAAAATTCTAGAATCGATCAGCAATTGTGCAAAGGATGCTCCACGAATCTCGAACAATAATAAAACATTAACTACGAGCAAGAAGTTTTATTTGTTTTTACATTCATCTCACTTTATCTCTCATTTTATTGTTTAGTTATGGCCAAAGAAATTGCTCTTTATCTACAATCATTATCGAACACTACTGTTAATAATGATGAACAATCAACTGATTGGAAAGGTTATGCATACGAAAATTATAGATCTCTTATTTCAACAATTTGTCAAATGTTAGAAAAGAAAACATCTATCGAAAAGCAAACGAAATTGATGGATCGACCATTATTCTGTACTAGAAAAAAGCGAGAAGAATTGTTAGCTGCTCGACCCTCGTCACGTATTACAAATCCCGAACCACAACCCGGTTAGTTAACTTTTATGCTCTACAAGAAAGTTATATATATAATATCTATTTTAGGTGTTCCATGTACTTTGAAAGATCTTGAACCATTATTAGAACATTTGTCATCAAATAAACCTGGACCTTCAGATGATAATCAACCTATTGTTTTTCCACGTGGAACGATCATGTCAGGTGGACGATTAGATTTATGTAAACAAGTTGTAGGTCCACAAGGTGTTCAACCTTTACTCGACGCTATGAAGCATAGCACATTTGTTACTAGATTATTACTTGGTAAGCATTCTAAATTTAACTTTATTGAAAAACAAAACCAGATCATTTTTATTTTCATCTTCAGGAAATAATATTGTAGGACTACCAGGTGCTCAGGCCATCTCTGAATACATTCGTTCTAATTCTCATTCAAATATAGATACATGGTACATCGCCTGTAACAAATTTGATAGCGAATGTATATCAATGATATGTGATGCATTAGCTACCGATACTAAAGTCAAAGCACTTTGGTTAAAACGAAACCCGATTCTAGCTGACGGAACAGTTCATCTTGGTCGAATGTTAACAACTAACAATTATTTACAAATATTAGATTTATATAATACCGGTTTATTTGATCGAGGTTGTGAAATATTATTTAATGCATTGAAAAATAATTCTAGCTTAAAACATTTATATATGGATAGTAACGGTCTTACCGCTAAGAGTGGACAAATATTACGTTTACATTTTGAACAAAAATACAATCATTTAGAAACATTGTTTCTATCGTGCAATTCCTTAGGTGATGCAGGTACACAAGAATTAGCAATAGGATTAAAACATGATCAATGTTTGAAAAGTCTTAGCTTATCATCAAATTGTCTTGGTTTTGATGGTATAAAAGTTTTGGTTGATAATCTTATTAGTAATACGACATTGCAACAATTAGACCTTGGCTATATGAAATCAACTACTTTGTATGAGGGTTTGAATAATATTATTAAAGATGATAGTGCTGCAGAAATTAGTAGACTACTACAATTCAATCATTATATTCGTTCGATTGATTTGACAATGAACAGTATTTCGGAACAAGGATTGCTACAATTAAGAGATGCTCTAAAAGGAAATCAAACAATAACAACGTTAAAAGGATTAACATTCAAACGAGTACGCAATAAAATACTCAAACAAGATATAAAAACTATGATTGAACGTAATCAAATTGAATGGGGTAAACAAGTGCTCAATGCTAACGCTGATAATACAACAAACGTATGTGATTCTGACTATTTAAAACAAGGACAACAACTCAATAATAATATTAATTTTCCTGAACATATAATAGAAATAATTAGTCATTACAGAGTACAATAAATCTATTAAATTCATTTAATAGTTCTAAATTTAACTTTTTATTTTAATTAAGAAATATTTTTTTTATAAAAATAAATGGCAGTTTTTCCTAAGATTAAGATATGAATTAAAGTCAGAAATATACATATTGTAGAGTAAATTTTAATACCATTTATTGTTATTCAGGATAAATTGCTAAAATAGGTTACGACCAATATATGTGTCGTGCCGAAGTTACTGTGAATGATATTACCGATTGTAATTCGTCAAAAAATCATAAAAATTATTTTCTATGAGATCTTAGAAACTTTTTTCGCTAGATAATATTGAACTAAATCTATCTTTAAGCATTTTAAGAAATATCAACCATCTAAAAACGAAATTTTCATTCAGTTGTTATAAGCACAAGGATAATAATAATATGATTGTTGAGATTATTATGAATTGAAGATGTAGATTTAATCTAGTAGAAGATGAGAATGCAACAGAAAATGGACATAATCATAAAAGTTGAAAAAAGATAAAGAAACATGAAATAGAGTGAAGAATAGCTTTCAATAAACATAGTTGTGGTATTTTCAATAAGCAAAATTGATTAAGAGAGATAGATTTCAAAGAAAAATCATCATATGATATTAAATATCAAATGTCCAAGATACATCTACACAAGTAGAAAAGTCTGTGAATTATACGTGAATGTATAAATTTGTTAGAAAACTATAAGTATCTATACTTTCTACCTAAAATACTAATTATTTTTAGTATCTTGAATATTCTCGTGCTCCGATGGACACAGAATATGAATTTATCTGACTAAAGTTATTCGTCAGAAAGAAATTAGAAGATGAACAAATAAATAATCGCTATTCTTTTTATAGACGGACAAACTATACAATATAGACTTTTAGAGTAGAATTGTTATGTATTCGAAATCTGTAAAGTAGGTGAACATCTCATATAACACAGTGAGAAAAAACTGTAAGATTCCGTGTTAGACAAATACGTTCAATGCACAGTAACACGTTGGATATAGACAAAAAAATACGATAATACTGACTATGATTTAGATTTCTATTAGACATATCAACTAGGAATATGGACAATCTCATTTGCGTCAAACTATATATACTTCAAGTTCTTCTATCTATTCTGAAATCGACAGTAAAAAGAAGGCTTACACAAAGAACTCTGATGAATTAAACAAAAAAAGGTCAAAAAATTTTTATCTTAATATAATAAATTATAATTATTATTTAAACAATGATTTTACTGAAAAACTCGACATTTGAAATTTTTAACAAATCAAAAACATTCATCTGTACAAAGATGCTTTTGTTTCTATATCCACGTTTTATATTAATAATGTGATTGCGACTGTGTCTGTAATCTCAGAAGTATGCTATTTATTGTCTTGAATGAATTCAAAATAAATAAGAGAGTATATATTAACGCTTGACGATATGTTACGAAACGACCTAGATGGTAAAGTCATACAAATACTTTTTTTTTCGTTTTCCTCGTTCTCTCATATACCAAACTGATAAAATATATGTAGTCAAACAACAACATGTGCATTTTCTTTTATTTAATATCTACAAAATATAACACATAAAAACACGAAATAATACTCATACGACTATAAAAACTAATACATTTAGTTGCTGACTCAGGTAATAATGTTTAGTTAAAAGTTTTGAAAAAACTATGATTTTTGACTGTTGAAACATCGATTGTATAGAACTTTCTTAGTTAATAAATAAATAAACAACATGAAAGCTTTTGTTCAAAAGTACTATCCCTCTTTCGTTATAGACAGGAGTATCACACTCATGAAATTGACATTAGAAATTTATTTTTGCATTAATAAAAATTTTTGTTAAGGTTTAGAAAAGGGTTCACTGTTTATATTATGAAAGATTTAAGAGTTTCATATCACTAGTTTTTTTTCTCGTCAATAATGAAGATCCGAGTAAAATAGTATTATATTCATATACAGTTCAAATTCATGAAAACATAATCTATTTTGTCGATTGCATTATCACTCGTGAAGATTTGTTATTGTTCGAATAACACAGTTTTTTTTAGCTCTATTATTTTGAATAAACCATATCCTAAAGTTTACTAATTGAAAGTAATAGTGTATTAAGATATATTTCACTGTCTGCTGTTCTAATCTTGAAAGTTATTTAGTATTGTCAACACGGTATACTAGTCAATACTAATGATTATTCGCGGATACATCAAATTTACCTATTTTCTATAGAGTTATTGTAACGAACATTCATTGTAAATGTTTCATTACAATGTTACTATCGCTCAAATCTATTCTATGATTTTCTAGCTATTACTAATAACAAGAACTTCTATCAAAGTACATTCACATACTATAATTCATCTTAAATCTCACATCTCTCACACAGAAGTGGAATGCTTCAAAATTGTGTTTTTATATTTTAGTTATAGCAATGTCACAGCTGAGCATTGTGATTGGCAAAGATAGAATTCAAGGAAAATTAATTGGATTGAATAGATGGGAATTCTGGTTTGGCTCAAAGAAATTTATGATCGATTCTTCGAATACAACAGACGATGCAGTTGAAGTGCTTTTAATGAAGTCGACGATCCTAAAAGGAAAAGAACTTCATCCTAATATATGGACAGTTGAATATTCATTTTACGGATCTTCAGCATGGGGTTCTGTTTCTATCTGGTACAATTTCGAGTTCAACATAGAATCCATGAAAGCAATTATAAAAAGCGAAACAAATACTGATGCATAATACAATATCTATGAATAGTCTAAGAATGATTTTATACCTTATTTTTCTTTTTATCTGTCCTAAAATCATAAACAATGTCTGTAACAAAGAAGTATGTCTATGACTTCAAAAAATATCAATCGTGCTAACTTGATTTTTAGAGTTATAGAGCTCAAAAAGACTTTTTAATAATCAGCATCTTATAAATCTTTCATTCTTATCACTTTCAGTAATATGTTATTTCGAAGTACTCTAAAAATAGTATTAATTGATTTTCGAAAGCTTTAAAACAAGCGATTGACTACATGTATCACTTGTATTAACGTCTTTTGATAGAAAAATATCTTCGATTGTTTTCCATTACCAAAAACTTCTCGAACTCAATAAATTTGTTTTAATATAACAAAATTGTTTTTCAAGAAAACGTCATATGAAAATACTTTTCAATGTTTCGATTTCTTTCAGTATAGAATAATTTCATCAGAAATCAACACTAAATTTATTTATTCTAAGAACAATAGAATTTTTCAATAAAAATATTCTTCTTTTATGACGTAATTAGATTTTGAATGTAGATTCAGTTATCGAAATAGAAATTATCCGTTTTAACTATATTCTCTATATATTAATATAATCACAAGAAAGATTTTTTTTATTCATTTCCATTTCAATGAAGCATAAAACTTCTTTATTCATATGTAAAAACAAATATCTTAATTAGAGAAAAATCAGTTTTTGTTAAATACATAGCAAATATTGTGAATTTAATTATGAAATATTTTTGTTAATTAAAAGATCTTGTATTTGAATGAAAACAGAAATTTATTATGAATAAAAATTCGTTTAGAAAAAAATATTTGTATAAGAATAAAACAGCAAGCGTGATTGTAATATTTATTTTTTTAATGTATAAAAAATAACTTATATTGAATGAAATTTACTTAGGATCTCCACAAAGAACCTCACCTAGACTGACATTTTTGCCACCTAAGTTAACACTTGAAAAAAAGACTGTTTGTTCTGGATTGATTATGATTTGAATTTTCCCAGGTTCTTCATATAATATATCACCAACAGGTACACATAGACACGTGTTCTCTTGGGAACAATAACCATCGCATGCAACTTTTATGTCATTAAGAAAATATTTTCCAACTTTGTTCACTGGAGATGGGAAGTATGAGAGATCAATTGTAGGTGTTGTCTTACAATACTCTTTGCATATTGATGATTCGTTTCCGACTTTGTTTTTGCCTTTGCAGGAATCGTCCAATTCCGCTTCTATTTTTAAAATAAATATGAAAATAAAATAGTCATAATATCATTAAATATTCTACTTACTTGTGTATGTATTTTTACTACAATCTTCTGAAGGTACAACAAAACCAGAACATAGATACATAACATGTCCAAAGAAGCATAATATTAATATAAATGATAGTTTACCATGAGTAGCCATTGTCGATATGAGGAATATAAATATATATTTATCTTGAAAAAGAAGTGTCGATTGTTTGATATAAATCGATTCGAAACTTTTCGCTATTTATATACTCAGATTTCTTTTGATTATTTTATACTCAATCATCCTGAATACGTTTATAATATCTGATTTTTTTGTTGTTTTGGTCAGGTACAAAATGAAGAATAAAGAATATTTGTTTATAATTCAGTGATGTCATACACATACGTCATGTCTATCTTCATATAATATAATCGTATGATAAAGTGTAGTAATAAGATCGAGAGAGCAAGAGGTGATAAAGTATTATCTCTATCGTTTATTTTTCCTATAGAAATACAAAAGAAAGAATGAATATTACCTAATTGTGAGGTTAAAAAGACATATACATGGATGATTTTGAAAGCAAATGATGTATGACAAGCATTATTTGAAACAAAACAAAAACGTCGACTGAGTTTTTATTACATTTCTAAAAGCATGGTATAATTTATAAGTTTCTTTGAATTAATATTCATGAAATTAGAAATATCAATTATCTAAAAGTAAAACTTAAAATTGAGAATAATATTAGAATGATTTCATTTTTATTTCTTTTCTTTGTTTTATATTATCAGATTTTTCTTTAATCTTGAGCGTTACAATAATCACTTATTATTTAACATGAGATTCTTTTTAAATATGTAATTAAGGATATATTTTCGATCGTATATGATTATCTTTATTTTTAGTCATTAAGATACAAGGATTTTGTCTCACAATGACTCAATATTCGCTCTTTCTTTTGTATTTCTATAAGAAAAATAAACGATCGAGATACGACTTCATCATCTGTTTTTCTCTCTATCTTATTATGATACTTTATTTCACGATTACATCTTGTAAATATAAACGCAACGCATGTATAATAACATGATTGAATTATAAACAAACATTCTTTATTCTTCATTTTGCACCTGACGAGAAAAAACAAAAGAACAGTTATTATTGATGTATTTAGGAGAATTGAGTATGAAATAATAAAAAACTCAAAATATATAAATAGAGAAAAGCTTCAAATGAATTTATATTAAACACTCGATAGTTGTTTTTCAAGACAAATATAGATTTAACATATTTGAAATCATTTAGAATACCTTCGATAAAGAAATACATGAAAAGTGTAACTTTGCTAAGACATATTTATGTAGTTAACACTCTTTGCATTGTATAGTATTGTAGCTTCTTTCACTTCTTAGATATCTATTTCTTAAAATACATTCCCTAAAGTTTATATTATGGTTCTTTTGTAAAATACTTTGTTTTTTTAACTATTATTTTGCATAACTCAATGAAACTAAACTGGGCGTGAGCGTGGATGTTATATTTCACTTGTATTTACACTCACATCCTCACAACCATACAATCGATAGTCATAGTAAAAGAGATGATATCAAATGATTCATTTATTAGTACATGACTAGGAAAGAGAATACATGATTTGTAGAAAAAGAGAAAGAAAAGTTACAATGAACTTCAAAAGAGATGTAATAATATTTATAATAAAGTGAAAAGATAAGCATTAGAAAAAAACAGTAAAAATAGAAGATAGATTGTTTTGATTTGTACATAAGTATATGAAAAGCTCCATTCTATGCTACGTAGCGAAAACCGGGAGCTAAATCATTGTACGTGTAGACATCTACATCTGTCAAGTCGGAAGAACGACCACCTTCTTTTCTATCACGTCGAGCATTTTCGAAGCGTAGAATCAAATAGAGAATAATAGCGAGCAACGCAGAAAGAGCGTTGAAAGCCAAATTTAATCCAAAGCCTTTATACCAATATGGTTGATCGGTTGTAGGAAAAATGAAGGCAGCAAGTATGGAAAATGTTTGTCCAATACCATTAAGCATGCCTAATTCCACGACACGCTGAGATTCGTTAGCACAATTATTAGAGACCCAACTAAGCGTAAGTGGAATTGCAGCAAAACTACCCATAGTTGTGAGAAATGTTGAAAAATAACGTGCATGTTGATTGTTAACTACAGTCAAGAGAATAATCCATCCTGTACATGAGACCATCATCGCACTCGCAACGAACAAACCACGACAGCCAGTTCGATCTGAGAAGAATGACATAAGAATCATGAAAACAGCAGCACAAGCATATGGCGGTACACTGTAGAGCTGCGCTTGAGCATTGCTATAGCCAAGAGATGAAATAATAGTTGGTAAGAAACCAGAGAGAGAAGCAAGACTTAAGTTAATACCTAAGTAGATGACAGCACACACATAGATCTTATAATCTGTAATAGCACGTCGAAAACCTGACCATTGAAAGTTCTTTGTATGAGCACCGCCTGATTGACTAGTAGCTAGACGTGTAACTGCCAATGTACGTTCTTCTTCAGTAAGATATTTACTAGTTTCAGGTCTATTTGGCAACAATAGAAAAATGAGCACCGCAAGTACGATTGTTGGAAGACCTTCGATAAGAAATAGAATTCGCCAAGTGGCACCGATACTAGTACCTTTCGCAAATGAAACTCCATAAGCAATTAGTCCACCAAATGCACCAGCCAATGCACCACAACCAATAAAAAATGCATTGCGTATAGCAATCTCTTCGCGCTTGTACCAAATAGAATAGTAGAAAGGTACAGTTGGACCAAAGCCCGCCTCACCAATACCAACAAAGAGACGACATACGATGAGTTCGGGAAAATTAAACGTTGCTGCTTGCAAAGTAGATGCAGTACCCCAGATGAGTGCAGCAATAGCCAATGCGGTAGGAGGCTGGAGTACTTTAGCCATAATATTGCCAGGTACATTAAAGGCAATGTATGAAATATAAAAACAAGTAAGTGCAATGGAAAATTTTGTATCAGAGTTACCCATCAAGTCACTTTCTAAACCTTGTAATCTTGCATTACCCATATTACCTCGATCAAGAAAAGAAGCTAAGTAGAGAAGCGTGGTCAATGGAAGAATAACTAAATCTAGCTTCCGTTTAAGCTTGCATTCAGTTGCTTTGGTAGTTGAGCATGAATCATGAACATCTGATATTGGTTTTGGAGACGAAGATGGTTCATCAGTCACAGTAAGAGTATCCTCTTTAGTCTGAGACAATGTTTTTAGATCAATATTATTGTTATTCATAAGTCCTAGAATATGAATAGACACAGTAATTTTTATAACATATTGAGAATAACTAAACTACCACTACAAAGATTTTCCGATTTTTATAAAGAGTCATAAGAAAATAACGATATCCTAGATGAGCAATAAATTATGTGATGTAAAACATAGTTTCATTAGAAATTAACTTACAAAATAATGAGCATAGAATGAATATTCTTTAGTTTTAGTTTAATCGTCAGGAGAAAAATATTTTCTTAGAATAACAGTATTTTGTCAAGTTTAATCAAAACTTGTAGATCTTAGGAAATATGAATCTAAAGTCAACATTTCGAACTCGTATGATCGAACTTTAGAAAATATTTTTTTTCTAATAAAGAAATCGAATTAAAAGTATATTGTTCTTAAACTAATCTTCTAGGGTCATAGGGTAAATTGAAACTAAATATTTAAGTAACTAGACTGAATAAAATCAAATTAAAAACTGTCACTCTTTTGACCATACATAAATATAAATATCAAATATGCGTCTATTCATTGATATCAAAAAGAAAGTCTATGCTTATTCTATCTTTATTTCTATTTTTGTAATATAAAAACCTTACTAATAGGTGTACATTCTCAATCATGTAAATAAAGTAATATCATTACTAGTAGTAACTTAATTTCCAATTTTGTAGCATTCATCTCGAATGAATCTTATTTTATTATAACTTGAAATACAAACTTGTTTTACTTATTCTAAGGAAGTTTAAAAACTATTTATAGAGCGTACGTTAATAATGACAAAGTATTAATAAAGAAATGAATGTATTTTTATATTTGAAATGAGTGACTATAATGTAAACGTGCGAGATCAATGATGCGACACGATATTCTCCTTGTAAATTGTCTTTTCATGACGTATGTGTCTATTATTTACAAAATAAATCTACGTTTCATTAACTTAACATACCAGGTGTGATAGATACTTTCTGATATTAATGTGCTTCGTAAATACGAAGCGAAAAGTAATAAAAATAACGAAAAAAAAACGTGGTCACCGTGTAAACAAGAGAGGAAATAAAATCAAAATAAGATGTGCATTGCGTCTCTATTATTCTAAAACTTTATAGATGCACAAAACAGTGGATCTTAGAAAATATAGATAATATTTCATACGCATTATTAAATTTAATTAAAATTCATAGATATCATAATGATATAAGCTTTATGTATGCGAGAAAAAGAAGTATACTTTCATTCTTTCTCGTATCCTATGTATATCTATACTACGAGTGTACAGGTCACGCTTATGTGAGTGTGATCGAGTGTTGTACATCCCTACTCTATACCCTTACGACGATATTTGTTTTTTTCTTTCACTTTTTCTTGATATTATCAGTTACGAATAAAACATAGGATATTTTCGTTTAACTAACATGATTTTTCTGTATTTTCTAATTCTTATCTATTATTTTATTCAATGGACAAATTTAGAAGTCATGCAAAAATAACGTTATACATATTACACATCATATGATGTTCATGACGTCAAATATTATCATCAGCTAGAAACAAGTTAGATATCCGATGATCATTTTAATAAACTTTATCATAATAATGCTCTATATTGAATAACAAATAGATATCATAAATTAAATGATAACAATATATTGTTGTTTTATATACATTAAAACTTCATGATTAAATAGTATTTTACGTATCGCTACAGTGGATACTTAAATCTTTTGACAAACACATCTTCTAGGACCAGATATGTATTATAAAGATTGTATGAGATGTGATTTCATCGAAAGAATAAATCATCTTCATCTAAATATGCTCATTGAGTTTTTGATTCATTGACATGTATTAGTTCAAATTATTTGTATTAAAACCATTATTGAATCACGATAAAAAAAATTTTTTTCAAAATTAGAAGAAATTAATATAAATACGTATGCAAGAATTATTGAAATATGCATCTGATTGTATTCATCTTGTTGGTAATGTTATTGATCATAATTCACATGAGTTAGATAATGAAAATATTTAACAACACTTGACATACTTGTTCTTTTTAATTTAATAACTGAATATTTTACTTCAAATTTTTATTTGTTACAATTAAATTAATGAAAATAAACGAAAAACTAATCAATGAGAGTGAACATTTCTCAGCAATTAGCTATCTGTAAATATTCATAATCTGCTTTGATCTAATATTATTTAAATTTTTCGTCATACATATATGTATGATAAAGAAACAGATATACGAATGAGTGTGAAATGAGAATGTAAGTAACAGATTGGAAAGTGCATCTGTTCATAATTGCACCAAAAAAAACATTTTTTTCTCACTTATTAGTTCGAATTATTGACGGCAAAACAGAATATAGACGATAGTCAATTCTGATGCTAGTATTATTTCGAATGTGATTTGAAAAAAGAAATGAAAAGAGAGCAGTCAATAGTCACATGTTATTGAAAACATCGGACAACGGCATTTATTGATAATTTCTCACGATTCTACTTAATGTGATGAGAATATTACACATGTTGCTTGCGTCATGTAAATTTTTTCTATCCATCTAACCCCGCATATCTTTGAACTTGCTACTGTATTTGACTCATATTGTCCACATGGTTAACAATATTGAAGATATATAGATCTCGTTCAGTTCTGAAAGTTTATTATCTTGCGCGTGCTTAAATATATATGACTCTTTAGAACAGAGTCCCCGCAGACTTTATATTCAATATAAAACGAAAAGAATATATCAAATAATAATTTCATTTATTTGACAATACAAGAATGTTATTCGGTGCAAGTATAGAATAAAGAAAAATATCGGTAATCATTCACATATAGGTCATATGATCTGATCGTATCGTTTGATCATATGATTCGATCGGTCTATTTGATCATATGATTTAATCTCATCATTTGATCACATTATTTTATCGTATGATTTAAAATTTAATCTGAAAAACAAAAGAATGCATTTTTATTACAGCTGTGAATGAAGACATGTGTCATATTTTTGGTTAGATATATAAGAGTGCACTGATCGTTGTGTTATTCATTCGTCGACACAGTCAATTGTCTTCTAGCTTGTGCTTCATTCAACAACAATATTATAAGCAAAATACTTCAAATAAAATCATCAAAAATATATCCAATGCATATAATATATATCTTATTTTTGTGTATTTTGCCATGTATTGCTAAACCAAATCAATGTTCTCCTGTATTAGATTCAATATATCCATGGATGCGATTACCTGAAACTCCAAGCTTGCCAGAACCTCTTCAAGGTTCAACTGTTAAAATTAATGGTGTTACTATATGGTACGCTATATATGGCCCGAAAGATGCTCCTCCTGTTCTTTTTAGTCACGGTGGCTTTGGTCATAGTGCTTATTGGGGTTTACAAATTAAAGCACTTATGTCAAAATACCGATGTATTGTTATGGACTCAAGAGGACACGGACGAAGTACAGTGTCATCTGCTGGTATTACATATGATCTCATGGCATCTGATATTGTTGGATTATTAAATTATCTTGGAATACAAAAAGCACATATGGTTGGTTGGAGTGATGGAGCAATTAATATTCTTAATGTAGCAATGAAGTATCCAAACAGACAACTTTCAGTGTTTGCATTTGCTGCAAATTATATTCCTTCTGGAGTAAAAGATATATCTGCATCGCCTGTTTTCACTGGATTTCTTACTAGATCACAATGCGAGTATAACTTAATTAATCCACAGAAGAACTATACGTATTTAAATAGTTGTTTAATGACAATGTGGGCAACTCTACCAAATTGGAATCAAAAAGATTTTGCCAAAATAACTAACAACATACCAGTTTGGATCGTTGATGCTGATCATGAAGAAGCTATTTATCGAGATCAACCAGATACAATGACTACTTGGATAAAACAATCAGGAGAATTGATTTTACCAACCACAAGTCATTTTTCATTTATGCAAAAACCTGAAATGTTTACTCAAAGTATAAAAAGACTGTTAGATTCATGCTATGAATAATAATCTAATAATACAATATCAAGACATTCACAAGCTGTTAAAATATCCACATGTTTATTAATTTCTTTTTTTTCTGAACATATTAAAGTTCTTTGTGTTATATGCTTGTTATCATGAAATTTAAATATAAATACAATTTCTATTTGTTCTATTCATGAATATTACTTTATTGAAATTTTACTGATAGAATTAAATTTGCACTGACTTATATACAATAGATTTTACTTTCTATATTTTGATTTACAATATTGTATTGGAAACTGATACTAATCATCATTGTCTCTTCGACTCACTATCAAAATAAAAACAGAAAGAAGAAAAAGATAAATAGAAAAATTTAAACGTATATTTCAGTGCATTTTTATATTTTTATTTTAAATCAATATCAACGATATATATGAAAAAAGACAAATGGTATTAAAAAAATAACCAGAAAAATATAGATATAACTCTACTTGATCACCATATTCTTCTAGTAAACCACATAAATGAGCAAGCGATAGAAGATTTTGTGATAAAACACCAATTGTATTGTCATTTTTCGATTTTTACGCCATTGAATTTGTTGATTAAGACGTTATTTTTGTCGTATAACACGTATTAAAAGAGCCATACTAACCAATGTAACCAAAAAGTCTGGTATAATATTATGTACAATAAAATCATATGTACCCAGTATTAAAAATAAAAACGCGATCTAAAAAATATATCTTTGAACTGAAAGTTTATGTGTAACAAAAAGTGCGATATATTATTAACAATGTCATTGGTTTTTGAGAATATTTTACGAAAATAATGAATATCATTACTGTACACTTGATTTTCCCAATCATCTATCATAAGTTGATAATTTAATATATTCACGTAAGCATCTATGTTTTGTTGAATAAAGTGATATAAGAATAATCTTTTTCGTATGAGTCAATCGTGATCGTTCTTCTATCATACAAAATTAATTAATTAGTTTATTAAAAGAATAAACAAGTTCTAAGATGTGTATTCAATTGAATAAGGCATATATATATATGCTTATAAAATTCCAAAAGTCTTTACTAGTTTTAATAAATTATTTAAATTCAAGACCGTGAGATTAGTAATAATTATATTAGATTGTACAAACTACAAAAAGGTATTTGAACTATTTGAGGATAAGAATGCATTTGATTGCATATGCTGATACATACAGTTTGTTATAGGTTTGATTAATAATACTATTTTATTTCTATCTTTGTAATTATTTACAAACGTACTTAATAAATTCTTTTATTTTTCTATTCATAGATAATCTACAGTTTACATTTATAATGAACTATAGTTTGTTTAATTTTAGAGTTACAATGTCGTTTCCTGAACGTTTGTAACAGATGGTGATGTTTCAGATTGTTTAGTTTCGAGGAGAGATGCTGACGATTCCTCGTTAGCTACTTGTGGAACAGGAGGTGAAGGTTCTTTATCTGGTACTTTCAAGCTAAATAAAATAAAATATTATTTGTATATATATGAAAAGAAAACTTTTCTATGATAATGTATTTACCTTCTCAAAACAATCATAAAGATCATTGCCAATAGTAACATACACATCCAGAGAATATACACAACGAATAGTGAAAAATGCTATAAATTCAAAGTCAATATCTTTCAATTATTTCTACTCTTTTTTTTAGATAAAAGTTAATCTGAATCTCGAGTCTAATTTCTATCAATAGAAAAGTATAGACTTACAGAAAGTAAAATGGCAAGTACGAGAAGAAGTTGAGGTATGCGCATATAATTCATCAATGTTGCTCGTACTACACAAATAGGGAAGCAAATGAATAAGATTTATCAATAGTAATATTTTTACCTTCATCTGGTATATATTGACTTTTTAGGTAACTCATCGATGGTCGATATACACCCACACAAAATTCATATAAAAAGAAACCAATTAAGATAGGCCATTGTGCCTTGAAAAACAAAACTTTTTATTGTATCAACATAGATTCAATGGATATTACACTTACATCAGGTGCAAATAGTGGTACACTTAGTCCGGCTGCAGATAGTAAGAAGACTACTCTAAAGAATAAACACAAACAAATATATTTTACAGTATTTAAATAT